ACAGGTAAACAACTACAGGTCTACCACTGACCTTGTGCACTATGGGGTCCCTCAAGGCTCGCTTCTCGGCCCTAGGTTATACACTATATATGTTAATGATCTCCCCGACCACACTGATTCAGGGGATCTTTACATGTATGCCGATGACACCACAGTCTACTGTATTGGCCAAAATGTCGACCAAGTTATATTAACTCTAAATGTGACAAAGAAGGAAGTCCTCATGTGGAGTGCAAAAAATCGACTAACCATCCATCCAATCAAAACTGAGGCAATGATTCTAAAGAAATCTGCCTTTTTTGGTCCTCTTCCTCCCCTTTACATTGGGAAAGGCTTAATTAACCAGGTTGACTCTACCACTTGCCTAGGAGTTAAAATCGACAATAGATTTTCATGGTCTGTGCACATTGACTCAGTGAAGAAGCATTTCACACAAAAAGTTGGAGCACTAAAGGGAATGAAAATTCTTCCTAAACAGTCACTTGAGGAAATTTATTTCAAATCTATTATTCTCAGCGTAACATATAGTATTTCAGCATGGGGAAACTGCTCACCCCCTGCGATGAATTCTCTGAACTCTATCCATGCAAGAGCTTCCCGCATTATAAACAACCTTCCACCGTCGCTGGCTGATGATATCTGTCTCAGTGAATCAAATTGGCTACCCTTCTCTTACTTTTACAAAAGTCCGTTCTTACGTTAATGCACAAAGTGTATTTTGAAACTTCGTGTCAATCTGTTCGAGAACTTTTCTCTAAAAAGACAACTTCTAGGTCAACTCGCTTTCCTAATCAATTTACTATCATTAGGCTTAAATCTGATACTGGAGAAACACTTTGCAGTACAGAGGCCCTGTAATCTGGAATTTTTTAAATAGACTAGTTAAAGTGCCTGAAAATTTTAATTCCTATAAGCAGATATTAAAGAAACACACCAGGGACATTGCGGAGTATTCTTTTAGCAAGGATGCGACGTTGATCACCGCAAAAAAAGATGATTTTATATACTTTTAAGCATTTCATTTTCTGGTATTATATCTTGTAAATCTCAGTTTTTTGCATGTATATATATTGTTTTCTCCCTGTGCATAGCTTTTATTCTTTTGTTGATATCTTTTGTGTTTGTCAAATTTTGATTGTGTATAGTAGGTCCACATCAGCCCTTAGGCTGCCAAACAATCTCAACCTACTTATCAAATAAAGTTTACCTTTACCTTTACCTTACCTATCTTCTACTATCCCCTATTGCCGTATTTCAAATCCATCACACACTATACGAATGTAGTTCATTTACTCATTTAGAAAGGTATTTTTCCTGATAGCAAAGTCCGTCCCACATTTTAGTATTTTGGATATATCAACAAAGTTGAAATGGTAAATTGGCCACCGTAATGATTACAAAAGCTGACGTTTCGAGCGTTAGCCCTTCGTCGGAGCGAATAGAGGAATTGTGGGTTGTGTGTGCTTTTAAAGGCAGAAAATGGAGCTACGTTATTGGTGGGTGCATGGCAACGAGAAAAACATGAATAAATTAGTGGAATGAAAAGCGTTCATTGATCCCTGAGGGATTTAGACTGCCGGTTTGAAAGATGAGCTTTTGTTCAAGATTTTTACGGCTTTCCGTGCCACCTAAGTGCAAGGAAAGACCGCAGATTGCCATATGTTGCTTAGAATGATTAGGTAAATTAAAATGTCTAGCGACTGGTTTCGATGTGTCCTTGTCATTCCTTTCCACGTAAAGAGACGTAATGTCCATGGTGAAAAGAAGTTTGTTTTGGCCAAGGAAATTAAAGTCTTGAAAAATTTGAAGAGCGTTTTGGCTGTTTTTAATATATGATGGTAAAGTTTTGACGATGGGAGCCATAATTTTGTCTAGATAGCTGGAGATAAGTTCGGTAGGGCAACTGCAAGCCGAGACAATGGGCCGACCCGGGTTGTTAGGTTTGTGAATTTTAGGTAAAAAGTAAATACGAGAAGTTCTAGGAGTGGTTATGATGAGATTCTTTGCTGTGGCCGGCAATTCTTGTTATTTTTCGGATGATTTTCGGCCTATTTCGACCATCTTGCGTCCGGTATAAAAATACTTTTAAAATCCACCTCTAATTACCTTATATCTCAAAAATATGAAGGAAAGGACAACATTGCATAAAAAATGTTTAAAGAGCGCCTCAAGGATCACTATCAGATCCCCTTTTACATTAAATATTTATTATTGATTCTAAAAACGTCTCTGCTTATTCTAAGAATAGATTTTTCAAAAATTATACATCATATTATAACTCTGGAAATTCTCTTTACTAATAACCCTGTGAGGGAAAAAAAATCAAGTAATTGACTTTTTAATCTACATGACATAAACATGATGTCCATCTAACTCCTCATTTATTTTACTCCCCACGTAATTACTGTTATTTCAATTGTTTTCTCTTTGCTACGTGTTGTCTCTGTTTCTTCCTTTGTCCACGTCGTCTTTCACCTCCTTTGTTAACGTTTGAATTCACGCCACCTATAGGATACGCAAAAGAATATTTAGTCTAGTTGTCATTATTTGAAACGCGGAGACCAACGGCTCTATCCCTCAAAAAATGAGACTTCATTTGTTCATTCATTGACTCATTTTTTTTAGTCACTATAGGTGGTTTGCACGTTACGTTATTGCCGCCATGTTTGTGGACGTAAACAATAGATATCTCATAAGCTCCTTTTTTTCTTCCACCAGCATTTTTTCCTTTCACCTGTGTCTCTAGAGATTGGTTACAAATCACGTATTTAAGTTCAGATAACTTCTGTAACTTGGTAGCCTCCTTCTATATTAATTTGCATGGGAACTTGAGAACCCCGTGAACAAGGGTACTTCATAAGTGTCATAAAGTCAAAACAAAAGTATTTACAAAGGTCAATCAGGAGGAAAACATCAAAATAATCCAATGAAAACGGTCTTATGCGCAAGAAAACGCGAGTGTGTAAGTCAAATTTTTATTTAGTTTATCATTTGGTGGGTTAAGAGAATGGGGATAATTTTTCTTGACCCCGCTAAGCAAAGCAAAAGAGTACTATCGAAACAATTAAAAACTGAATTGCCTTAAGCTTTCGTTAGGGATCGGCACAATCCTTCCGAGTTCTTTTGAGAACTGACTGTAGTTAAAACCACATGTGAATGTGGCTGAACTTGAGCACAGTAAGGCGGTAAAATTACTGAGCCTGGACTATTAAGGTGATGCCGTTTTCAAACTGGTAGGTTTGCGTTCTTCATCATGCTGATTTAACCACTACAATCTTATTTTATTTTGTGACTTATCAAAACAGTAAAATTCGGCGAGGAAAAGTTACAGGATAATTGTCCGCTAGGGTGTTTCATTATCTTTTGGATCCAGCCACTCATCTTTAAATTAAATAATTTAATTTAATCTATCAACTAAATGGGCTTTAACTTTTCGAAAGGCTCGCATTTCAAGATGAACCGTAAGTTAGCGGTCGATCCTTAGCGCAGAATGTTCATTTCGGCCATAACACTCACTTACAACCAATATCTGATCAAGCTTGGCCAAAAGAGACAAACTGAAAAGTTGAAAAGAACTATTAGTGATCGCTTTTGATACTTAATGAAGGTGATCTCAGTCTGCAATTCTATTTAGCATACCTAACAGTTTACGCGAAGAACTTTTTTTTCCTATGTTGTCAAGAGCATCTGTAAGAACTCCCAACGTGGCTCCGCTTGCTTTACTCTTTCTCCACTTTTGGCACACCTTCCAAGCTTTTTCGCGGGGAGACTCGCAGTCAGCATCGATATTGTCGATCTCTGGTGTTGATAGTCTCAACTTAACGCCCAAATCCCTCCAGTGTTGGTCTATAGCTATGTCATCAACGATTAACTGGATATGGTCTGAAGTGACACGTGTTTGCCGATGGTCAATTGTTCTTGGAGTATCTACAATACAAAAAAATTGTCATTGATAAGTGTTTGCAGCTGTTTCTAAAAAAAAATTAGGCCCCTATACTTAATAAGCACCTTTTCCTTCGGTTGGTACTTTTCTGAGGACAACGGTGCAAATCGATACTGTTCTAACTTAAGATCCTATCAATGCAAACTTTCAAAGAATTCATTATTTCATAACACCATGAACCTTTTTACTTGCTCCGCAACTTTTCGCGTAATCAGAAATTTTGAAATTTTTGCAATCCATGGCGCTGGTAAATCTTGCAGCTAATGTAAGAAACTTTTTCAAACTGCTGAAGTGCCAAGTCCGAAATATACAGCCTATATGGCACGTTTTGCTCATATCAACTGAACTCTTGTGATGCCCAAGCGTCAAACAGCTATCGGATATTTTTCCGTTAAATCATGATCACTTTGATGATCAAATTTTTTTTAATTAGAATTCGCCCCCCCAATTTGCTCTCTCCGAGGGCAGGTGTTTCTTTCTCGGATATTTGTCTTCTAGGGCCTTTCAATTTCTTTCTTTTTACTGCAAGCTCTTGACGGATAATTGACTTTTCTTCGAAAAAAAAAAACAATAAATAAATGGACATGCCTCGTGTACAGTCGCGACGTTTATAATTTTCTGAATAGTTATTCTGCCAAATGTAACATTTAGAACTTTCTTTGACTACAGACTTGACAGGTTTTGATTTCTTCATCATCATCGTTTACACTAGTTTCCAAATTTGGTGTCCCTGTTATGAATTTATTCTGCTGTGCTACAGTGTTATATACGGTAACTGTTACCTACATATCTATGGTTGTTTAACCATTTGTTGCCCCGGTGTAAGTCTATGCATATGGTTTCTTAAGCATACTTTTCTCGTCTTTGATGTCCACACAAACATAAAGGCTGACGGCCATTTTCGCAACTTTGAAGGATCTCAGCAAGTTCCCGGTCGGGAGAACTGACCATAGGCTGATTTAGGAGAGAAACTTTCTTTCCAAGCGGCCTTATCTTAGGGAAGGCCAATAAGCGATCCCTGTCCGGCTTTCAATCTATTTAAGCGCGTTTCCTCGTCATACCTACGCATCAAGCTAGATTCAACTTGTGCAGTAAGAATTTGATTTCTTATCAGCTCGAGGGTTCAAGCCCAAAATCGCTCAAGGTCTTTTAATGATTGAAGATTATGTGCTGCCCTTGACATGATATCTCAAAATGATTCGTGTTCTAGTCTTATCGGATGAGGACGATGAAGTACTGGTTAAGCGGGGTCGCTACAAGAACCCACCAACTTTTTGCAAAGCGAACTAGGGAACATAGCTCCCATCGTTGTGCTTTGGCCCTATTTCCGAAATTGGAAGCATCTTCCAAATTTCCTTCAAAATTTTTAATCCGCTCTGTGCAGTCTGACAAAGTCCCAAGAAAATTGTTGTACGGCGCCGTGACCTCATGAATAGAACTCTATAGAAATCCTCCATTTTATGTTCATTACATATATGCATGCGGATGGATGTTTTATCTTAAACCGATCCTTTCCGTTACAGAGGACCAGTTGCAATCAGCTTCACATATAAAATTGCTTAGAAATGTTTCAAAATCTTTCATTCGACCAAAACGGTTTTACTTATGACATCAGTAAAAACACTCGGATTAAATTCGGCCATCCCCGAACAAATCCTTTTCATAAACCAGCCATCGTCAGATGTCTTTGTCAACGAAAACATTAAAAGTGAGTTCTTTTCTTGCCTTTTTCAAATGTTCTCCTCACTTCTGCCACCTTTTTCTCTACAAGTAAGAGCTTTTCTTTAGTTTTCCTGAGTTCCTCTTTGAGTATTCCACTTTCTGCAAAATAACAAGAGAGGTCACGCAATTTGCAATTTTTTGCAAATGAGATAAGTGCATAGAATACTTGATTTTTCATAAGCCATATTTCAAAGTTTGGAAGTTCAGCAATTTTGTCGCTTTTCAATGAAAGGACGCATCAGCAGATCTTAATGAGACGACGGTATGTGTAGTCCTCTTTATGCGTGTTGATAAAATGGAGACTGAACAGTAATGTATTATATAACAACTGTCCTAGCCTACCATCAGTCAATGTCACACGAAACCCTTCTAAAAATAGCTGAGAACAAGTCCTTATGACAACTTAAACAATTTCAATCGCCCTTTTTGTCCCACTAGTGTTAGTACAGTTGCGGAGCACCATGTATCATACAGCGAAGTTCTCAAATTTTAAGAATGTTCCGTATAATTTGCATCGGCTTGACAGGAGACTGGAACTCCCTTCTTTCACCCCGAAATAATGGATCGAGTAGATACTTTGCATTTTCACTCTGCGGACTACGGAATGCGTTGCCTTAGTTGGGAAGAGAATCAGATGATACCATATCTTTTAGGTGATCTCTGAAGAATTTGACTTTTACCGCCGTTACGTTTGTCTACAAGGGAAACATCTGACTTTGCAAAGTGCTCTGATCTGATTTTGAAAAGTGTATTAAAAAAAAAAAAAAACCCAACCTACCTTCTTTGACAAGACAATAAGCGACAGAGCATTTATCTTTCTCCAAGGCTTTAACGAACTCTTCATACACCTCTGGTCCTTTATCTGCAATCATCCTCAATAACGTCTTTTTCTTTTCTATCCCACTTCCTATTTCTCTCAATGCTTGGAGTTCTCTTACGGTTATCGTTTTACTTTGTCCAAGATGAGCTATAATACGTATGATGGACGGTCAGTGGTTCGAGAGGTCAGTGGTTCGAGGTCAGAGGTCAGAGGTCAGTGTCCCGTACAGGCCTGATTTTTTTCAGGTCTGAATTTCGCTATTGCTCAAATAGCGCTATCTACTGCGAGGATCGTCCATCATACGTATCAAATACCGCAGTTCAAAATATATGATTTTCATATATTTATTCTATCTCATGAGCTATAATCTTGTCTGTATCAACATTTTCTAAGAGCAGATTGTTGAATTTGGCCATAGTTTGCTTATGATTGATGTCTGACATATTCGCAATCAGCTTTCTTGACTGGCTGAAAGGCTGTAATCGAGAACAAAAGGCAACGGCTGTAGTAGATTACGTTGTGTTATACTTACGCAATAGAGGACAGAAGTCTCAATAAAGTTTTTGTAAACTATCGTTTGCGGGGGAGGGGGTAAAATTAAGTGCTTTGATGACAGGTATTCAGGGGGCAATTGTTGAAGGGAAGCTCGTTTTCTGTTTTCACAAAGTAAAATTTCCAAGAAACAGAATTATTAACTTACGAGTAGGCCGGCCGTCATAACTAGCGCTACGGCTCGAGTGCTATTCGCCCGCGAGAAAGTGTGAGGTCCGACAAGGGGTCTGGCATCAATTATCATTTGTACACGGCCCCTTCGAGCTTGTTTTGAAGACGTGCGTAAAGTCGAGCGTGATACGAATTTGTGAACAAGTGTGAGGCAGGCGGTGTGCGCAGTCCGTTTCCATTGCATTGCGGTAGCGTTATTTTCAATATGGTGATAAAAGCGGCAGAAATTGGCAGATTTTGACTGAATATTCCGTAGAAGTTAGGCAGTTAGGCCGTTTCTTGTTACTTTTACTATAGGTAAATGTAATTTGCTATATTTTGAATGTGTAGAAGTATTCTTGTACCTATTTGTTGCGTATTCTATCGTTCTCAAGGACGAACGCAAACAATGTTTTTGGCATGTAATTTGAGACCGGTTTTCGAGACGGTCAAATTCGTTGTACGTGGTAGTTTGAAACCTTTCAAAGATTTTTGTAGCCTCTTTGATCCTTTATCAACAGCTCTGACCAAACGCTCTCCAACGGTACCAACGTTTTATACATTTTAAGTGATAATGTTTGTGACCTGTTATGGCAGCGAAAAGGCCTATTGTTGCGTTTAGTGTGTTGCGTTACACATTGTTACTGCTGCATTTATGATATGTACTAAATTATCGTGTTTTAAAGCTTCTTTCTTATGTAAAGGCATTTGTGTCCGATCCTTAACGTCCAAACGCACTAGAAAGAGAAGGGGACCTCCGAATACTCACATTTTTATTCGTGTCATTAACCAGGCAAAACGACAGAAATACGTAACATATAGACGATTGACGCCTAAAGAAACAATCTGGTTGAGCCTAGCCCTTTAACAAGTAATCGGACAAGTAATTCCGGACGTTGCTTTGAGATCACATTGATTTTAACAGGTATTTCCGTTGTTATTTAGTGGACTATTAAATTATGGTGTACTTACTTACGAATAATTGTCTTTCGTCGATGTGTTCAGTTTTGATGACTGAAATTTCCTATGTGCCCGCGAACACTCAATGGCCAGTGAGTAGAGGATATTGATTGCTTTACACCGCGCAACCCAGCACTGCCGCCTGCGAATCCTTCCCTGACACGACGGTATAACCAACTCATGCCTTTTTGCAACACTTCGTTCAACTTCCTGATCTCCTGATCACATCCTATCCAGTACTTAGCGCTTCCTCTTTTGCTTATACCTCAGTGCAGCAGACATATATATACAAACTATATAAGCCACATATAGTTTGTACGTCAGGTACAAAGTATTCCCGACTGAAACGGGATTAGGAGGTCCTAATCAATGAAGACGCTGCCCTGTTGTTAGATGGCCAACAAAAGTTTTACCAACTTGGCTATAATTGTCCTCCGACGATGTATTTTGACAATGATCACTTTTTGAATGCTTTATTTGGATCACGAAATCGTGCTTTCTCCTAAATCAATTACCTGTCAGTGGAGTCAACTTCCTTGTAATCTTAGCTCAGTTTCAAGCATTTCCTTATTGATTTTAGTCACGTTTCATGAGTCGAGGCA